CATGCCAAATAGAATAGAAGCAGTTATCAAGTCGAAAGGGTATTGGACAGAGTACTAAAATAAATAAATAAACTATTAACATATTTTTGACAGGTGGCCCAACAACTGGCAACATGTACCGACCGAACTCAGCAGGCGCTAGGTGGCTGAGTTTGTATTACGTATGCGTCAAATTTAGTATACAGGCTCCGAACAAGTGTAGTATTGCTCATACAAAGTTTCGAAGCGATACAATAAGAACTGAGCGAGTAGTCTGTGCCAAAAGTTGAAAATGCGAAACATGTTGCCAGTTGTTGGAGTCACTGTAAGCTTTTGTTAAACATATTATATAGTAGAATGAACTTTGGCATACTGAGATTATTGGTAAAATGAGTTGTTAGTCTCCTGTTGTAAGAATTTTAGAATGTTCACATGGTCACTTCGAGTTCTTTTTCATCAGCATCATGCATGAAAAATTTTTACTTCCTCCAAAAAAGGAAACTACTTATTTGTGACTGTTTCCTATCGACAACGCTTACGCCTTTTTTTTTTTGGGAGCCTTTTTTTAGCTGTTCCAAACGTAAATGAATAAAAAGAAAAGTAGTATTAGATCAACCAACAACGAGTATGCTGTAAGTATAGAAGATAGCTACTGTGTATAAAGCACGTATTGAAGCCATCTACTTAGGTGTCGCGCATTGCAGGCATGAAAGTTGTAGTAAGCATTAATTACAGTAATGCTCTAATTCATTTTGTTGACTTGACCTTGTAGAACAAAACCCGTTACTTTCTGATTGAATGGGAAGGTTATGGCTTGAAAGATAATACGTGGGAAAGAGAGGACAACGTCTACTCTTCATCCAGTATTTCCGCGTTCATTGAGGATTACTGTCGACAATCTCATTGCCGAAAGGATTCAATACTCTACATGAACAAGAAAGTTCTATTATATAATACATACGATCCTGATACGAAGGAGTTTCATAACCATCCCAAAAATCCTGGTCCTGTTACTTCTGTCGTCACTGAAAATAATAGCAAGCGGCTTAGAGATTCCTCTGATGAAGAATTAAGTGAATCGTCGAATTCCACAAAGGAGGTAATTAATAAGTGTGACAATAAGTTACATGTATATTCATGCCCTTACTTTAGTGTAGAAGAAGCTTACGTACGCTTTTAATGGACGCGCCGAAGGAATTTCAGGATACCTTTCAAGTTGTAATAAACTCAGTCAAGGTAAAAGTTAGGCTAATGAATAATGTAGTTCATCCTCATATCTTTTTAGATGGAACATCCTGTTGAAAGAGCAGCCAATCATCAAAGAAAAAACAATATTCCTCTTTACGTCATCAAAAACCTTAAAACAAGAGTGACCATTTTCAACGATGTGGACTCAGACTTACCAAACGACTTTATCTATGTTGACCAATTGCAATATACAAGCCCTGTACTACCCCCTGATCCAAACTTTCTGTCTGGGTGCAGCTGCACAGACGCAAATGACTGCTCCAGTGATTGCCACGACTCCCAGTTCTATGATCAGAAGGGTAGATTAATTGTGCCTCATGGTACAGCCATATATGAATGTAATAACACCTGTGACTGCGGTATAAATTGCAAAAACAGGGTAGTGCAACGTGGCAGAAAAGTGCCTTTACAAATTTTTAAAACAGCGAACAAAGGGTGGGGTGTTCGAACCCTTCATCCAATCTCTCGAGGTACCTTTGTTGAGGAATATGTAGGAGAAGTTATCACAACAGAAGAATCTAATAAGCGTGGCGCTTTCTACGACAAATATGGATGTAGCTATCTATTTGATATGGACTTTGCTCAAAGCGAACTACCTACAAAATATGCAATCGATGCATTCATTCTTGGGAATGTCAGCCGGTTCTTCAATCATTCTTGTTCTCCTAATTTGGAGGTATTTGCCGTATACCATGATAGTGCTGATGTTCAAATGCATCGCTTAGCTTTTTTTGCAAGTCGTGATATAAAGAAAGATGAAGAACTTTGCTTTGATTACAATGGCATGCAATGCGACACTGAAGAAGAAAATATGAAGCATAGTGCACGTTACTCTTGCCATTGTGAAGCACCAAACTGCCGAAAGTGGATTTATATCTAAATATGCATTTAACCCATCTTCTTTCATTTCAAAATCAATAAAGCATAAATTACCATAAGAATAGTTCTTTCCATGCTTAACTTGCTTTAATTGTAAAAGTATACTTTTTTCAGGATAATAACACTTTCTTCAATGGACACACACAGCACATACATTGCCTAATCTCACCATTTTAGAATAAAGTTTATCCGATAAGTTCGACTGCAGCTTTGTGGTTAATTGATTACGTTTCAATATTACTGATATTACAAAAGTTTTAAAAGTAAAAAAAGCACACCAGTGCAAACGGTACGGCACTTGTCATTACTGCTTTGTATAGCTTTTAACGGTTTATTTGAGGCCAGGATACATACCATTTCACTATAGTCGATTCAAGTTAAAAGTCATTGTATCGTAAAATTAAGTAGTATATGTTGTAATCAACAATAGAATTAGTACATCAAAGAATAAATTCACTAGTTAGATCCTCGGTAGCCCTTTAGACAACATGATGTTGTTAAGAACGTAGAAAGCAGAGCAGTTAGAATCATAATCAGTCACAAGTAAATTCACCAAGCATCTAAAGGCAAGTTATGAAGTAGGCTTCTAAGTCATTGACTATAAAAACCCTTTGAACAGGAACTTTATATTATCGAATAAAAGAGCCCTAAAAGTATTGACCTGTCTTTTTGATAATATAAAATAATAATATCTAATCAAAGTTGTTATGTAATGGTTTATAAGACACAAGACAAAAATTTATTATTAATCTTCATTCTGAGATAAAGACAGAAGGAGCGTGCAGTTAAGTTAAGGATATATTATTTATAGTTGCTATCAAATGGCTGATAAGCCAATATTCTAAGCGTGGGTTATAATTATTGAGGATATGGTTGACTAACATTTCATGATCTGGGTTATGTTACTGCTTTTACCATAAGAAGGATAATCTTTTAAAGAAGTGTATCCTTTTATATAAAGAAGTAATGATTCATATTCAAAAGAGAGATTCTATTTAATTTGACTTATCACTAAAAGTGTGTATACGTAATCTTATAATGTATGAATTCACTCTATTCATACTGGTTACAATCGTTTATCTCAATGTCAGTCCTTAAGCAGACATTGTTCTACGATAGTTTTTGCTATGAAGAAGATATTTTTCAAAGAAAAATAGCACCTGAGTATAGATAAAAGTAGATAAAAACACAAAAGTTTTGAAAAGCAAGCTACCCATCCCAGGCTAAACCGCCATCAGTGTTCTTATGCGAGCCAAGAATAAGCCGCATCATGAAACTAGCATACATCGTGATGTTTCTTTTTGAATAACTAATAATGATATATATCCATTAACAAAGTTTGCTTTTTCTTCAAAATTGTCACATTTACTCTACAAGTGCTCTATTTTATCGTTCGATATTGCTTTGAGAGCAATACAAAGAGGGAGACCACGAAATGTGTTCGTATAATGCAACTTATCCAATTATCATTGGCCGCGATTAGTTCACGTAATAACCTTTTTTTCACGTAAAATGACGTTGTTTGTAATATTAAGCTTTCTCTTGTCTTCGTAAACAGCAAAGAGACTATACGGAGGCTCATAGGCATTTTCCTTTGTCACGTTTAGCAGTACATTGGGTATCGTCTTGTAATTAGTTTAATCTCAGCCTTATTGTTGTAATAATTGGCAGCTTGTCATTCAACTGATCCGAAGGAATTCTAATAAAATGACCTTTCTTTACAACAATAATTGTACTTTAACTTACAAGAACACTAGAAGTCGACACCTACTTCTATTTTCCCTTTTACATAATATTTTACACTATTACCGTATCTCTTATTTATTACTCGAGACATATCACGGTAGGAGTCACGGTAAAAACATGGCGGTGATAGTTTGCCATGCTGAGGTCATGTACTTGAAAAAGGGTGCCATGTCGCTCGATTTTAATAGTAGATAAACGACATATATAAATAGCTTATACTACTTCTATCGTTATCAAGTTAATATATCAAAGTACTAAATTATGCTAAGAAATACGGATTTTAAATGACTATAAGCTATGAAAAAGAAAATATTAGTTTTAACCAAATTAATAAAATATAATTACCTATGACGATAGCTTCTTTTAATGATTGCTCTTTTTTTTTTTCTGGCAAGTTGTTCAATTTCTTGAAATTTATCTGACGACTCTGTCACCCCTGCGGTCGCCTCCGTAACAATGGGCGCTCGTATAAGAAGACAGATGGCACGAGTTTCAGCCTTGAGCGATAGTGTATTACTAGAGAATCTTAAAAAACTAAAGAATTAATTATTTCTTATTTTCTAATTAAGCGTTTTTTGTAAGAATTGTTCATTTAAAACATGGCGATTGAAAGGGTGGGAAAAAAATTATTTCATAACTACCATTTTATGTTCGCAAAATATAAAAAGAACGATCAAGAAAATAATTCATGTCTAAATCTGTATTTTATTTACATAGTGTTCATTTCGTCTGCATAAAACTGTATTTTCAGAATAAAGTTTCTTATAGTGAGGCTTAAATAAAATAATAATAAAAAAGCTATTATTGCAGTCTATTTTTTTTTGTTTCCATTTATAAAAATAAAAAGAATTGGAAGTAGACTAGCACTTTAAAATCAAAGTCATAGCAATAAAATAAACATGCTATAAGTTTGTCAAAGTAGCTTTTTCATGTAACGTGCTTTATCGATACGGACTGTACAAAAATCTCTTTTTTGGTACGAATCTAAAAATACTTAAAGAAGAGGGAATTTATAAGCAATCTTCAATTTCATCTGGGTTGTATACAATAAATTATCACGAATATCTTGTTTTTACTTATTTTCTAGAGCTTGTTTATTTGACTATATATATATTTAATTGTCAATGCTGAGGTACATTTTGTGGTCCCAAATTAACATAGAACCTGGAAAATGCGATTTGCAAAACTGCAAAAGACATTTAAAGGCACCTTCTCTGCAAGTCAAAAAAGTTGTTTAATTCAAAGAAATTGCATAATAACTTTTAGCTACCTGTGTTCAGCAGATTAGCACGGTAAGTATCTGACTAATATTAACAAGCTGGGTTTATTTTCCACTCCTTTGTAAGCAGTAGCGTCTAATGATGAGCAATTACACTGTAGCAATCTTTGTTGGAGTTTAATGTATGCGATATATATAATATATAAAAAAAGAAGTATTCGTCGCTAAAACTACTAACGTAATCGTATCTTGGAAAGCACCAACCTTTGAAAAGTATGAATATGGTGTAATGCAGGCATGTATATGGAATAAGCTCTATTCTTTTTTATATCATCAGTGACAATATAATAGAAGCAAAAAAATTCCTTATTATTGCAATCACAATTATGGCAAATAATCATAACATAACAGTAACCACAGCACAATATTGTTAATAATTGTAAAATGAAAACAATGAGAGCTAAGTCGTAAATCTTGACGAAGCGTTACTCCATTAGTAGCAAAGTGCAATGTTTTGTTTTGTTTTGTACTTACTACTGTCAAAGCGCCTCACGTATGTGTTGCGACGTCTCTTTATATATTCTCTTTTTTTCGAATTTCTATTTCTAGCTTGAGAAACGAGGAACAGCTTTCAAACAAGCACAAGTACTATAGATGAGAGGTTTACATATGATGTGAATTCCTTGATAATCACGACAAGAGGGGATAACACCATGTTGAATCATAAAGTACAGAGAAAATTAAAATTAGTGTAAAGTATTTGATTCCATGTGTTATATATATATCCGTAAATATGAGATATCAGGGTTGTCTTCAGCTCGCTTATATTAGACTATTTTGCTAAAATTGCTAGTTGTAAGAGTATTTTCATTAGAAGAATGTGCAAAGACTTGCTTAACCCATATTTTACCCATGATCTTGCTTTACCACCTTTGAAACAAATTTGCTAGTTTAGTACAATTGAAAAGGCTTTGTTTTCGGAGAGAGAAAGAGACCAGGTACAATGCTAGAAAGGATTAAATTAAAATGGATGCTTCATAATTCGTTCTTTCTGATGTATCTAGTGTCTTTAAAAGTAATTATTTGTAGCCTTGGGTTTTTTAATAATAGTAAAGGCAGACAATAGACACATCATTCTAAACACTCATGCAGAAAATATCGAGGCACTTTAAAGTGTACCGATTGCTCTATGTATTTATATTCTGAACGAATTCAAACATATCGCTTTTTTTTTTTCTTTTTCTATTTCTTTTTTGTAAGGTCTATATCAGCTTTTGTCAACAAAGGAAAGATGTTATCTTAAAGCCAACTTAATTATTTATGATTTTTGTATAAATGAGCTTTATCAGGTGTTAAGTAAAAATGCTAATTGCAAGATTGCAAAGGCATAAACTATCTTCTGTGTTGGAAAATAGATGTTCTAAAGGTGTTCCCATATTTGACCTTTCATGAATAATCCTTAAGAGATAAACTCTATTGTATTTGATGTATTTAAATAATCAGAAAGGAACGGTACGCCTTTTTACAAAAATCAAAGCGAGAAATACAAAGGATGCTGATTCTTCTGCTATTGGTAAAAGGTTCTGTCTTTAAGCTGGCTTTAAATTGTTTTTCATCTGATTTTCGTGATGAGCAACATCTATACAGTCACATATCTAACAATCAATAAATTCATGTCTATCAAATAACAAGCCTTTTTCAACTGAGACCTATACAAGATGACCCAAAAAATAGGTATAAACCCATCATAAAAGTCTGATAAGTACATTAAGCGCTTTGTATTAGCTATTCTCTCTGTCTACGATAAGACTGGCTTAGTTGATTTTGCTAGAGAACTTCATGCTTTAAACATTCGTTTATTGGGTTCGGGTGGAACAGCCAAACTGGTGCGTGAGGCTGGTATCCCTATCGGGTAAGGCGTAAAAAACTAAAAAAAAAGAGAAGGAGCATTTTTCTCATTCTTACTAGCGATGTATCCGAGATTACCAAAGCTCCCGAAATGTTGGGCGGTCGCGTCAAAACTTTACACCCTGCTGTTCACGGAGGTAAAATAGAAAAGAAAAGCTTGAAACGCTTGTATAGATCATAGATATAATGATTCTTTCGTTAGGTATCTTGGCCCGCAACATTGAAAGCGATGAAAAAGATCTTGCCGAACAGCATATCGAGAAGATCGATATCGTTGTTTGTAACCTTTATCCTTTCAAGGAAACTGTGGCCAAGCCTGATGTAACTATCCCCCAAGCTGTCGAGGAAATTGATATTGGTAAGTCAAAAAGCAAACTGTGAATCTATTGAAGATAAACATGACGCTCCCTTAGGTGGTGTTACCTTACTCCGTGCTGCTGCCAAGAACCACGCTCGCGTGTCAATTGTATCTGACCCTAAAGATTATGCAAAGGTCATTGAAGAATTAAAGCAAGGACAAGTGACTCAAGAGACTCGCAACAGTCTCGCTTTGAAGGTTTTTTATTGACTTTCTATAACAGCGTCCAGAAACTTATTTCTACTAGGCTTTCCATCACACTGCTGACTATGATGATGCTATCTCTAACTATTTCCGTCGTCAATATGCCAAAGACGCTTCCATGATGCCCCTTCGTTATGGTGCTAATCCTCATCAAGCACCTGCTCAGATCTATACTAAGAATGGTAATTTACCCGTCACTGTCTTGAGCGGATCACCTGGCTACATCAACTTCTTGGACGCATTGAACTCTTGGGCCTTGGTTAAGGAATTGAAGGAAGCTACTGGTGTTGCTGCAGCTGCTTCATTCAAGCACGTTTCTCCTGCTGGTGCCGCTATTGGTCTTCCTTTGAGCGAAGTCGACCAGAAGGTTTACCAAGTTGATGATTTGAAGATGCCCTTGAGCCCTCTTGCAAATGCCTATGCTCGTGCTCGTGGTGCTGATCGTATGTCTTCTTTTGGCGACTTCATTGCTTTGTCTGAAAAGGTTGACGTTGTCACTGCCAAGATCATCAACCGTGAAGTTTCCGATGGTGTGATCGCTCCTGACTATGACGAGGAAGCTCTTGCCATTCTGAAGGGTAAAAAAGGTGGAAAATATTGTGTACTCAAGATGGATCCTGCTTATGAACCTGAGGAACAGGAAGTTAGACAAGTTTACGGTTTATACTTGGAACAAAAGAGAAATAACTACAAGATCGATGCCTCTCTTTTCAAGAACATCGTCTCCAAGAATAGAGAGGTAAGTTGCCGTATATTTATAATGGAAAAATTAACCAATGTACGTGTGTACATTTTAGCTCTCCCCTGAAGCTGTCAATGATCTAATCGTTGCTACAATTGCTCTCAAGTACACTCAATCAAACTCTGTCTGCTATGCCAAGAACGGTATGGTTATCGGATTAGGTGCTGGTCAACAATCACGTATCCACTGCACCCGTCTTGCAGGTGACAAGGCTGATAATTGGTGGTTAAGGCACCACCCTAAGGTACTGGCATTTGACTTCAAAAAGGGTACCAAGCGTGCAGACAAATCGAACGCTATTGATCTCTATGTAACAAATCAAATTGGCGAGGTGAATACACTATTACTATCATTGTTTACTACAAGAAACACTGACTTTATTTTCACTTAGGGTGTTGAACGACAGGCTTGGGAAGCCAACTTTAACACAGTTCCTGAGCCATTGACTGCTGAAGAACGTAAAGAGTGGATGGGTAAGCTCGAAAACACAGTTGTTTCCTCTGATGCTTTCTTCCCCTTCTCTGACAATATCTACCGTGCACATCGCTCTGGTGTCAAATACATTGCCGCTCCTTCTGGATCTGTTCAAGATGAAGCTGTTATCGCTGCTGCTGATGCCAATAACATGGTCTTTGTTCATCATAACCTACGTCTTTTCCATCACTAAACTTATTTTTAACATTCATACAATTTGAAAGCCCGTAATAAAGCTGAGAAATTTATTCTTTGAATATTGGTCTTCTTTTGCGACATTATTACAACATGGGACAGACAGGTTCACAGCTAGAAGACATGGTCAACTCTTCAAACTGTAAATATAACCAAGGGTAAACATGATAAATAACCTTACGAATATCATTTTCGTCTAGTTTCTGCAGAAGAGATTCAACGTCTATATAAACGCTTTATGAAGCTGGACAAAGACAAGTCTGGTTCTATAGACAAAGACGAGTTCTTGTCGATTCCACAAATTGCAAATAATCCTCTGGCTTCTCGCATGATTGCCATCTTTGACGAAGATGGAGGAGGTGATGTCGATTTTAATGAATTCATCAAAGGCTTAAGTGCTTTTAGTGCCCGTGGCAACAAAAGAGAAAAGTTACAATGTAAACAAATATAGACATGATGCAAGGAGACAAACTAAATGCTGTATAGTTGCATTCAAGGTTTATGACATGGATCGAGATGGATACATTTCAAATGGAGAACTCTTTCTTGTCCTGAAAATGATGGTTGGAAACAATTTGAAAGACAATCAACTTCAGCAAATTGTGGATAAAACCATAATGGAAGCAGATAAAGATGGTGACGGAAGAATTAGCTTTGATGAATTTTTGACTATGGTTGAAAATACAGATGTGGCAAAGCAAATGACACTGGAAAGCTTTTAAGCTTGAATGCGCATTTTATATTAAAATTTTCTCATGCAACTGTTAATTTCGTTACTATGGCAACGGCTGTGAAAGTAGTATATACACATTTTTATTTTACATTATTATTTTTGTTTGTTTTTATGATATTCAATCAGTTCCTTTTCAACCTTGCCATCGTCATCATATATTAACACACCCTGTTTCCATGTGCCGTACTTGAGTCCAATAGCTTTATTTGACTCATATTCTCTTGCTATATCTTCTGCATTTCCTTTCCAATCACGATACAATTGCAAGTTTTGTCTACCAATCAATCGAATACACTTTACTCTTAGATCATTCGTAGACTACGCAAAGATATTAATAGACGCACACGACTAGCACTTAAAAAAATACCCATTTTGGCAATAGCTCCTTTGATATCTCACCAAAATGACCAATACCATATTTTTCAATGCCTTCAATTAGCAAGGTCTTCTCGACCTCTGTCCATTTTCGTGCTTCTTCTCTTGGGCCTTTGGGCGGTCTAAAGTAGCTAGATACAAAATATGAGCATAAATAAAGGAATCTAATTCGATCCCTTACTCTTGATTGAGCGTGCCATCTGGATAGATCATATTCTTTGTAATCTCAAATTCGTCTCGAACACAAAATTTTAACCTAAAGCGCTTTACCCATTCTTGTTTTTCACGAATGAGTGCTTCGTCTGGTGATAATTGCTTTTCTGCCGTATTATCAATCACCATATTGGTGTCCTCATTAACCACCATTATTTTTAAAAAAATGTAGAGAAAAAAGAATATGTGACTTTGTAGTTTATTTTCTATTTATTTTTCAAGTCGTTTTTGCTGTTCCTTTATACTATCCAAGTAAATCTGTACAGATTCATTGTAACCTGACCACATGTTGGCTACAAGAGCAACATCTGCTGTATTATTATTTATTGTCTAAAGGAAAGGAGAAATATTAGATTGACATTGGTTTACAAAAGAAACATTTACTTCAATTTTCTTATTAAGCTGTCCTATATTTTCATTCAATTTGCTCTAAAGGATTCCATGAGCTACATTGGCTAAATACTAGGCATGGTTAACTTACAACGTTGATTATGATTCTACTTAAAAGTGCACTTTGTTGTTGATCATGAGGACTTTCCATTAAACAATAAACAAAAAAAAAAAAAAAGAAAGAAAGAAATAAGAATTACTTTTATTATTAAGCAGTCATCATAGATATTAGAAGAAAACAGATAAAGCACTAATAGTGGTAGCAATTAGTGGCAAGAGACCAAGATAGAGACTGTTGGAGCCACTGGTATGATTTTCATGTCCTGAAGAAGAAGAGGTACTGTTGCTACCATGACCATGACTGATACTGGTTGCATCAGCAGCTGCTTGAGTGGCATTCTTGACGACAACTAAAGCAGGGGCGGGGTTATTAAGACTATGAGAGTCAACACCAGGTTGAGGGATGCTTGTCCAGTTAGTGGAGCCAACTTCACTATAAAATCAAAGTGTGAAAAGAAGAAAGCACGATACAAAAAACATTTCTTACCAAGTTTGAACGATAGGGAAGTAATAAGTAACATTAGGCTGAGAAGACAAATCAACCTTGGGAATAGAAATGACCAAAGGGAAATCAAGTGCATCTGTTGCTTTCAGATAACCACCATACCAAGTGATATTACTGAGAGAAGAATTAGAAGCGTCTTTGTATTGCAAAGAAAGTGTCTAAATAGGCATGAGTGACAAGGAACAAGATAGAAACACTGGCTTACCCAATTTGATACAGCTTGAGGAGAGATAGTAGTGATACTTTCAGGCACAGTAGCAGTTACACTAATGGTAGCAGAGCCATTGCAGCCATGAGGAACGTGGAAAGCAGTGGTTAAGTTTTGACCAGGCTATGACAGTTAGCAAAGGCACTGCCCTTACGCGTAATACAAGTATAGCTTACCTCGGCAAACTTAGGAGACAAAGAGACATGTGCGTCCACAAGATTAGAGACAAGAGCCAAGAGAGCAATAGTACAAAAGTGCTTCATGTTTAAAAAGAAAAGGAATGAAAGAGTGTTTATGGACTTGCAGTTGCTTTTATAGAATGTTGATCTCGTAGCGAAATACTCTCATTTTTGCCCAATCATCTTTTCTAAACCTTATTTGTTACACAGATGGTGGCAGTCAAATACCAGGAGAAAAAAAGAAACTTGGGAAAGGGAACAGTTTTGAGCCAAGATGTATGTAAACAGATTTCATATTCCTATCGTTGTTAATCAAAGTATAATCCATCAGACACTCTTTTCCTCATCTGTTATATAAAAGGTATACTCTGCAGGTACAATCTAGAAAGTAACCTGAGGTATTAAAATGTGATTCCAAAAGCTATTACCATTTCTCCAAACTGGCAGTTTAAAGTGAGGAGTGAATAAACGCAAAAGCTTATATATATCACTGCGATTCTTTCTTTACATTTTTTTATTGAGTGCAACTTTAGTCAACAAGAGTAATTTGGTTAGTTTTTCCTTATATTACCTTTACTGGTATCTGTCTTGTAAATAAAGTCACGCTATTAAAAGGTTTTTATGTATCACTATGAAATAAAGCCGATAATGTTTTCATATTAATAACGCAATGGTTGATATTTTGTAAAATTGACTTTTATAGCTATAAAAAAAGGGATTGTGTTTTTTGTTGTATTCATCTATGTGTTTCACAAGAAAATAGTTTTCGTGATCCGGGTGAATGTTGACAGATATTTTGACCTATTTGCTTAATAGCTACACTAATAACAATAATAATAATAATAATAACATTAGTAAGCCATTCTACTCATTATTTATCATTACTAGTGCTCTTTTTGTTATTATTTTTATTATTACTAATTTACCCTAGTGATGTGAATAAAAAACCTTTGCTTTGCTAGAGAATAAAGTCGTTGATAATATATTATTGTGTGATAAATTAATTGAAATTTCAAGAGACAAATATCTATTATCCTTGCCTCCTTGTTGAATGTTTTATGTTTGATATTTTGAAAATATATTTGAATGCCTAATATATAGCCCTTGTCTGACACCATACAATACTTTTGCAATGTCATGGGCTATAGTTAACTTTGTTGATTAAAAAAAAAAAAGTGCAAGTACTTTAGATGAACTTATCTATATAATATAGAAAAAGCAGAAGCTAATTTGTGTAAGATATTAGTAAAATCACATTTTATGTTTTATATCAAAGAAAATCCCATTCTATTTGTTCAAACATACCATACACACTCTCTAATATTTTGAAAGTATCCCACAATACGATGTGTATCTCTTGTCTAAAGGCTGTTCTTTTAATTGCTGTTTATGACATATTTACCCTTGTTTATCACAAAGGGCGAAGCCATTAAGCCTGCGGTAACACGACGACGCGCAAAAACGAGCGGAACGAGCTGAAAACGGTTAGTCTTGGCTTGTACTATTTTTATTTTAAATGCTTAACTATAATCAAGGAGGTGGTGCTGTCCATCATATTTTTTATATCTTGTACTGAAGCGAATTATAATCAAAAATAGTATGAATACTTTATTTATTTGTACACAAAGGTTATGTTTATATAAGACTATTGTTCATTGCAAAATTATATTCGATAAGTCAATATAATAAGGTTCTATAGCGATTATATCAACTATGATTTATTAAGAGGTTGTATTTGTTTTCTATGATATTAGATAGGAAAGTTGCTATTATTATAGTACAAGCATTATGGATATTGAAAGAAAAAAGAAAAAGGAAATATACAAATTGATATAAATATATAAATACAGAAAATCCATAGAATCGTACTATAACCGTTATAAATTGTCAAAATCGATACTCCTAAAGTCAATTTCCCGTTTAACCAGCTCAAACACTAGGAAGCCAACACTCGTAGCCGGAACTACCCTCACAACTGTGCTTCCAAATTCCTGATATAAAAACTTTCTCCAGCTTCCTCCATTCAATTTGACCTGTGTAAGACATTGGTCTAATGTTCGTCTATATAAGCTTCTAACAGATTCGCGCCGATGTTTGTTTGTAAATTCAGATTGTCCTTCTTCAATATAAAAGATACTATGCACCTTTGATAATGGGTGATCAATCAGTTGATATGCCTATTAAAACAACTAATCAGCTCAGTCATCTTCATATCAAAAAGATAAACACAAACCATGGCTGCTGTTGCACCAGCAAAAATGACAAATAATGGCTCCAACATCAGCGGTGGTTTCTCTTTCTTTTCACAGCTATCAGGTGGTGTAGGTCTGTCATCATTTTCTATAGAACTCCATCCTGCCTCTAATTCCATAATTGTACTTGGAGAATCAACATGTACACCATATATTTCATCCAAAAAATAATAATAGCCTTGTTGCTTAACCCATTCAAACGTTGCAAAAAATAACCCACAGGAGAGAGAATCCTATGGAACAAATGAATTACATGAATACTTTGAATCATGTGCACCTTACCCGCACTAAGGTCAGTGTAAATCCACGGTAAGCACTTGCTATTCCTAGTTCTTTAAATGTTGACTTGGCAAACTGATACATAGAATGATGCTTTCCTTCTAATAAATCATTTACTTCGAACCTCACTTTGAGCGAATCAAGTGGAGTGGCAATGATAGATTGTGCAGCGCCCGCAAGACATCCTAAAAATAAATGAGTAAAGCCGCTCGGTATTATAGATAAACACTACAACCTGCAGCAAACACAGAGGAATATGGTGGAGGAGGGTACGGTCTGTGAAGCTGGTAGGCGCTTGGTGGGTGAAACATAGGTAATGCTGCAATATACGTGGTGTAAAGGACAGTGCCGATCAGTGTGTTTGCGATTAGTGGAGGAAATATATGCCGAGGAATAAAATTCCACTGGAAGCCGATTAGTAAAGAGTATACAAGAATAAAAGGCTATCGTACTCCCTTTGTTTTTACAGCATGCGAAATCATACCAATGGATGTATATCTAAAGGAAAATCGTTTGGCATTGGCAGTGTCTACCGGCATTAAGGCTCTTGCCATAACAAGATAATCCACTCGTAAAGGTCGAAACAGCTAATGAACCTGTATAAGTGTTGTTATATGGGCACCCTTTGACTCTAACCTTGATTGGTGTCCTGTAGAATAAATAAAGGCTCTGCATGATGAGTGTTCTTGCAAAAGCAGTTGATCCACCGATCGATGTTGCTTCCCTTGCCTTTTTCCTTTTTTGCTGCAACTTTCCAGATGATAAAGTGTGCATGTATGGTGTTTGTAGAAAAGCAGGGATATTGTTCGAGTTGAGTATATATGGGTACCATCTTCTATGGCTATTACCTCCCTTGACAACCAACTCTGAAGGAGTATCAGAGGGCGCCATGATAAGATGTCAACTGTAACAAATAGAGAAAAGAGTAATCAGCGTCAATCCCTCCCCTTCCCCTTTAAATTTAAAGTCAGATATGTCATGTCACAAATCGTTGTAATTAATAAGGCACAATATCAGCCAGCCAGCATGCATCGAGATGCTAACATCGTATTTACTGCAAGTGGCAGCAATGTTATCAATTTGACTAGTGGTCTTTCTTCCCTTACCATTGGCTCTCTTTGTCTATGTTCGCTGACATTTTCTGAAATACCTGTTAGTTCAATCACTACAACATTGGGTTTATAGACGTGGCCGTGTCCTTTCCAAATGAAAGATAATACTGGCCTTGATACCTGCTAAAATTTTTGAATAGACTTGACTGCGAATAGTTACAGTCATTTCAAAAAGTAAAAGTCGCTAGGAAATTGATGACATCGCTTTTAAGATGCAAACCTCTATATTTCATATGAAGAGATTCTTGTATATACCATATCAATAGTCAAAATTTCCTGACAGGAGGTTACTGACTCCACGCTATCAAATTTTGAGATTCATTGTTCCTTTCCGAGCCGTAATGATTCTGTTAAATGATCCATAAACACTCATATTTCGCTGTCATGACCGTGTTAAGGCCTATATGACGCACATCATTTCTCCTAATACTGTTGTAAATTCAATGAACAATAACACTTTGGAGTGCTGCGCAACACACAGCTCAACCTGTATGATTGCATATCCACTTTGTAACCCGTATTGAATCTACAACATCGAGCTCCAAATCAGTTACTTTACCTTTTGAAACAGCTGTGGTTGTGGTGGCAATGTAAGGCAAATGTTGTTCGAAAATGTTTCTTTACTTGTAGGGAAATGAGTTACTTAAAGGCTTATTAATAAAATCTTATTTTGATCAAGGGAATAACTCTTCCTTCTCTCTTATTCTTTACTTAAATGGAATCTCGTAATATGACTCGTGGACATGAATTATCATTTATGCAAGTGGAGAAAATTATTTTACCGATATCAAATACAAAAGAAATACGGCACTTTGCATTGTTTCATTTTTTTTTTTTTTTGTTATATAAACTGATGCTGCGCAGTCATGAATATACAATAGCTGCTATATGGAGCAAACCGTCCCTAGGAGCAGTAAAGCGATGCTATAGTTCTAAACATATTTTTGCATCCTACGATGACGAAGAAGAAGTAAACAGGAAAAAGGAGCAGCTGTCAGATGATAAACCATGGGATGGTGAAGAATCTGTTAAAGATGCAGTCTTAAGAATGATTGTTGATAAATACCGAGCACCTCTGCGAGTAGAAGGGGCAGCACGCCGCAATCTGCCACAGCCTCAACCTTATCCTCCCCATATAATGCAGCAGTTTGCACAAGACAAAAGCCCGGGAAGGAAACAAGTTGAACGAGAGAGGAAGAACAAGGCGATGAAGCAAAACCGCTTAATGAATGCCAAGGATGCTGCATTGGATTATTCGTTGGGAAAGAAATATCCTACGACCGATGAAGAAGATTCAAATGTTTCGAGAAAAGAGTTTATAAGTATCAATGACATTGGATTATTGTGTGAAGAGAAAATTAGAGAAGCAAAAGCAAAGGGGGAATTTGATAATCTACCAGGAAGTGGGAAACCCTTACAAGAAGATTACTTTAAGAATAATCCTTATCTTGATCAGACAGAGTATCTTTTGAATCGTATCGTCCAAAGAAATGGAGCAGCTCCTCCTTGGGTGATAATGCAGCAAGAGATTGATACAGAGCTTAATTCTTTCAAGCTTCAACTTAGTTCAGTATGTAAACGATGTATAGATGAGTTAAAGGAGGAAGGAAGGCCTGTGTTAAAGACGACATTAGTACAACGTTTCAATCAAGTTGAAAAATCTTTTTTTGAAAAACAAGTCAGCTCATTGAACAGCAGAGTGCGTAGTTACAATGTGATGTGTCCATCACCTGTAAGAAAGCAGCTACTGGAGCTTAATAAAGAATTAGCGAATGTCATGGAAAGATATGTAAAATAGATAAACAAAATAAAATAATTGGCCTCAGGAGGATCAATTGGAAAAGTTTAACAATTTGTTGCGCATTTACTGATTCGCATCCATAATGTTCTCATCTTTGGCCAACAATACAAGGTTCAAATGGAGATATCTGCTTTTGAAAAAATAGCCTTCTGAATATTTAAAGAAGTTGTGGGCTCAGACTTTCGACAAGGATCTAAACAAAAGTTGACACCTTTACTTTTACTTCATTCATGTATTCATTCATCAAATAAAATATTAAAGATTAATATGCTTTGTTATTTGCCATTGCTTTTTTATGCTCCTTTTTCTTCTTCTGCAAGACTTCTTTCTCCGTCCTTTAAATAAAAGCCTCAATTTTTTTTTTTCTGATGTACTTTTCCGCTTTTTGTCAAGATGGCATTCAGGTTTAATTTCACGGTAATTGATACATTGGTGATTGAAAGCCTTGTATTGAATATTTTTAGAGTGATGATCTTGACTTAGAAAATGAAGAAAGCCAGCAATTAGAAACATCTTTACACGATCTACACCTTGAGGATAACTCAGGGCACTCACAAAAGCTTCCTAGCAGAGAATATGACATCCTTGTGAGTTTATTTATTGTCTCTCTCTCTCTCTTTCGTATACTTATTTGTGTAGTCTTCTCCTTTACCGCCAGTAATTCAAGCTGATCTACTGCAAATACAAAATGTAGAAAAACCTATTTATAAACGAACCTTGGCTGATGTTCGATTTCAAATTGCTCAACAAGATACACTTTTAGAAAATGAAACTGAAAGAGAAGTATTGTCCATGTTGAGCTTGAGTGGTAATTCTGACTTGATCAAGGGTGTCTACGAAGGAGGATTCAAAACCTGGGAATGTTCTATCGATATGGTAGAGTATTTGTCTAGTCTCCCTGAGGAGCAAATAAGCAACAAGAAAGTATTAGAAATTGGCTGTGGATCGTCTATTCCAGCTATTTACCTTTTGACGACAAGTAAGACAAATAGAGTGGATATACAAGATTATAATGAACAAGTGATACGTTATGTCAGCGTACCAAACATTCTTTTAAACTGTGTCTTGAATGTTCAAGAGAATCTAACAGTAAATAATGAAGAACAAGAGAAAGAGTCAAGTAGTGAGTCTGAAGAAGAGGATGATGATGATGAGGAGGAGGAGGAGGAGGACGATGAAGAAAAACGTATTGAAGAAGACCCAGTGACGTGTGATGCCGAAGCAGAAATTATAGCTGATCAAGTACCAGCCATGTTACAACAAGTGAGTGCTCGTACAAGAGCATTCTTTGGTGATTGGAGTACATTGCCTGTATGTTACATTTTATTCCGTGTGATTAACTTTTAACATTTTATCAACAGGAACAATTAGGCGTTGATCAAGGCAAATATGATCTAATTGTGACAACAGAAACTGTATATGCAGAACATTCTTTACCTGACTTGATTAGAGTAATTCAAAAATCACTTAGAAAACCAGATGGTGTTTGGTAAGCTATGTGAACAATTATACTTATTAGACTAACTGTTCAAAGTTATGTTGGTGCCAAGACTGTTTACTTTGGTGTTGGTGGAGGTATTCTACCTTTTTGTACTCTGTTGAGTCAATCCATGGACGAAGATGGTGACAGACTGAAATATGAAAAAGTTTACGAGAGCGCACGTCCTATTAAGGGAGAAATTCTCAAGGTTACTTGGGAATAAAAAGAAATAGATAACAATTACACCTTTGTTAGTTATCAATCTTTATTATTTAAAACATGTAATAATATATAAAATGAACTTGATATTTTTAAGAGAAGATAAATGTGGTCAACGCTTATAAATAACATGTAACTGATTTCCTAAACAGATCTTTTATATCACATTCTTTTGCTTCTGTTGGGCTCTCTTTTATTATTATTAGTTGTCTGAAATTATCATTTTTCTATCAGTGTAGAAAGTGAGGAAAAGAAATAATAATTTTTGATTTATTGGTTGAACAAAAGATTTGCACTTACCAGGGATTAAAAAGTACAAATATAGTAAAAATGCATGCTTCAAATCAACGAATTTTAACCAGATTTAGCTTAGAGACGGATGTTTCTCTATTTAATCAAAAGAACTCTGAGATTTGTAAGACAAAGAACAGGCCAAGATTTTTATGTAAATCTGTCATTTAATACCGCGTGCTGTCTCCTTATAAAAACCAACACTTTCCTTTTCTTTCCCTTTCTCTCTCTCTCTCTCTTTTTTTTTT